AATTCCAAAACAATGTTAGGGAAAATCATGTCAAAACTCAAGAACTTGGACTTTTGCAGCACGCTTCACATAAGAAAAATGAGTCTATGTACTTTAAAGATATAATAGAGAAAATGGTTTTCTTTAAAATAACTAATAGCAGAATTATTAATAAATCTATCCTAATAAAGACGAAATGTCTGTCTGAGTGTCAGTGTATCCCACAACAACAACAACAAAATTACGTTTATACAGCGCCTTTCACGTCGAGAGGACGTCCCAAGGTGCTGGACAGTCAGTGGTTGGGATCTGAGCATGGGGAAGGGATGAGGGACAGCAGAGAGGTGGGAGGGCAACCGAAGGCACGATCGAAGTGGAGGGTCTTGCGACCGACCGACAAAGAAGGCAAGCGAGAAAACGAGGCAAAGGGGCCGTGGGATGGAGTTTCAGAGTGTGGGGGACAATCACGCAATAACCGATTGACGTAGAGACATGAATTATACATCATCGTAAAGGTGTTTGCATCTGGCAGTGTTATGGGCATTTTTTTGGGGGGGGATCACCTATCGTTGAGCTATATTAATAAATGCTTTAATTAAGCCCCAAAATGAGGTATGCATTGTATTCTGCAACTACGTAGCGACAGAGGAAAGCACACACCGTTCAGAAATATACATCTATATTCTGTATTAAATGTATGGCACTTTTTTCTGGTTGTCATTTGAGCTAGACTCCTCCCATATGGGGCAGACAGAGAGAGAGACAGAGAGAGATAGTGAGAGAGACTGACAGAGAGTCAGAGTAAATAATGAAGTCAGACTTTTCAGACAACACCAATTTCTCCCTCATGAATTTGGAAATATATTCATATTCAAACAACATAGAAAAAGAAGCATATTGGACATATACAGTAAACTACACAATAACTAAAACTTCACAAAACTAAAAACTAATAGCCAATACTTGTTGGACCAACTGTTGCTTTTGCAAGTAGCTGCTGCCTTATGTACTAATGAACCATTGAGGAATATTTTTTAATGAAACTTCTTTCTCTTAGTTCCACGTTTTAAAGTTGTTTTTTTTCGTTCAGCTGGGTTTAATATTTGAAGTGACCATTCATCAAAAAATATTTTTAAATAATTTATCAGAACACTATGGTAATGTACACACAAGTCAATTTCTGAAAATAAAGAAAGAAGATTAATTATTTATTAAATCATTGATAAAAGTCCCAGAGAAGCCCACGTCAGAAGATCACCGTTCAATTTCTTGTCTGTGCTGAATCTGCTGATTTGCAGTCAGGACAGCAGTTGGTATGCTACAGTTACATTACATGCCCTTGGAGTAGGTAGAGCAGAAAAAAATAGCAAGCCAAATTGATCATTACTCAAGATGACTTAAAACAGTAATAACTGTTCAACAAATTCCTTAGCTTAAACACACTTATTTTAAAATTTACCTGAACTGGCTGCCTAACCTTGCACAACACTCACCACCGCATCCGTTATGACAGGCATTCTACAATAACTTGCATTTATATAGCATCCTTCACGCGGGGTAGCATCCCAGAGTGCTTGACAGTGGCAGTCTGACACCAAGCCAGGGGGAGAGCGAGGTGACCATAAGTACGATCAAAAAGGTCTTCAGGCGGGATATAAAAGTGGGAAGGGAGGGGGCAAGGCATAGGGATTGAGGGTAAGAGTTCTAGGCGTTCGGGGCGTAGTGGCTTATAGCACAGCTGCCGTTGGTGGAGAGGAGCGGACAAGGGACAAATAGGAGGCCGGAGCCAGCTGAGTGGGAGAGGGACAGTGGAGGTGACCCTAAGCACCATCAAAAACGAAGGTCTTTAGGCGGGATTTGAAAGTGGGGAGGGAGGGGCAAGACGGAGGGGTTGAGGGAGAGAGTTCCAGAGTTTTGGGGCATAATGCTGAAGGGGACAAGGGGCAAACAGGAGGGGACGAGGGATGAACATGAGGCCGGAGCCAGCTGAGTGGAGGCAGCAGGTAGTGGAGTGAGAGATAAGCAATTCGGACAGGTAGGGAGGCGCGAGAGCATGAAAGGATTTGAAAATGAGTTCCAGAGTACAGTAATAGGGAGCCAGTGAAGCCTGACATGGATTGATATGATGGTGTGGTGTGGCTCCTAGCAAGACTTCAGCATTATACTTACCACACATCTATTTGACTGGGAAGCTTAAAAGATTTGAGATAGACAGGAAAAGAGGCAAATGTACATGGTATGAACATTTCAAGTGTACCCTTTTAAGCTTACTGACGTCCTACTGGAAACCAATACCTGTAAATATCCAAACCCTTCAATAACAACTTTCCAGTCATTAATCCTATATTACAACACAAATTTACATTTATACAGCACCTTTTACGTTGGGAGGACGTCCCAAAGTTCTCAACAATGCTGGCTTGGCAGCCTAGCTGGGAGTGGGGAGGGAGAAAGATGACAATGATTGCACAGTGAAAGAGAAAGGTCTTGGGACAGAGCTTGAAAGAGGTGAGGGAGAGAGCAAGTTTGAGGGAAGGAGTTCCAGAATGACTATTAAAACTGCAAATTAAATCAGTCCATATTGTAGTAAAGATCAAAACTCAAAAGTATTATTTATCTAATTATATAGTTGCAAATGTTGCATACCTGTTGCAGATTAAAAAGTGATGCCAATTAAACTAATTGGCTGTAATTGCATCAATGATCACTATTGCTAGATCTAGCTCACTCATTTCTTCCAAAATGTTATTAATGAGATATTTATGGTTATCACATTGTGTGCTTTCAATTCAATTGTTAACTTATCCGTTTCCAACTTTCTACCATCCAATCTTCATGAATTTTAAAAAAATTAAGTAGATGCCCATATCAATAATCCTTGCATTTGATATAGCGCCTTATCATGTCTTTGAGTTTTCTCAAAGTGCTTCACAGAATATACTACAAAGTGAATTGACTGTATATTTTGTGGACGAAACATATACTATACAGAATACATTGCAAAGTGGATGGACTGCGTATTTTGTGGGCAAAACGCGGCAGCCAGTGAGTGAGTGACCAATTTTATTTGTGAGACTTGTTGAAACCACTCAAATTTCACTCATGTGGTTTAGAGAGCACCATATGACACTATATAAACCCCAAATTGTATTACTTCCGTAAAACACACGAAGTGAATGGTACTTTCTTCATCTGACAACATTCTGGTTGATTAACAATGTTATTAATCTGACAAATAAAACAATTTGACATTGCCAGATATTAGAAACAGAACAATACATGTTTGGGATTTCAAAGACAGAAGACATTCAGAATTATATTTAAAAATAGTTAGGACACTGAATGTATGTAACATATTTTCAGGTGGTGGGTTGAGCTTTAATGGTTGGAAAAATTATTTGATTTCAATGATGAAATGTAACTGAACAATAGACGTACAAAAATTCTACTTGAGAAGACATAAATGTTTGAAAGTTCTGAAACAGTATTAAAACAACATTATGTACTAATATTCCTTGCACTTGCTCTTTATATAACCTTTTCGCAGTATTTAAATGTCCCGAAAAAGTTCACAGGATTTACTGTAAAGTGTACTCACTACATATTTGCAAGCAAACTCCACAGTAGTGTCTTGTAAACAGCCATGAAGTAAATGACCACTCCTGTCAGCCACAATTCCAGAATTGTGGGATTCCAAACACTTTTAACTAAAATGGTAACAGAGGTTGTTTTGAATGATTGTAACAGAAACACAAGCATAAAACAAACCTCGCGAAAGCTAAACATTATCTCTCACTAACTCCTGGCGAGTTCCTCAACCACAAAAGGTATTCAAGCCAACATTCCAGAACAGGCGACATCTCCGCTATTTAACATAATGCTAAATAGTTAACATCTGAATGTTAACATAATGTTAACATCTTCTCTCTATTTCAGAATCAATGCTTCTCTATCTTTCATCATTTAAAAACACTGGGGTCGCATCACCCCACAAATCTTTTTTTCCCAGTGCAAAGAAATTCAACAACACTACTTAAAAAAAAACTTGCACCTTGGAATAACTTTGTTAATCTTTTCTGAACAGTCTCCTACGCCACGTTATGGTGCTCGAAACTGAGGACACAAAATTCCCAATGTGGACCCACCAGCCAATATGACACAAGGTTAAACAATTTCCTTCCATTTATGGCTTAAACAACCCCTCTCGAGATGCGAACTAATATTTAATGGGTTTGCACGGGTGGGACTGCAAAAGAACCAGACCTGACAGGCACTGGGGGTGGGGGGGGATGGGTTGGTGACAGAAAGTTCACCAGGAGATGCAATTTTAATTCCCGTTTAGATTCTGGGTTCGGAGCAAATGGATCACAGGGGATGGGATTGTAGCTTTGCAAACGGGAATGTCGCTCACAGAGAATCGCTCGGAGCATCTGCACAGAGGGAAGAGGAGGAGGAGGGCGGCACATGAGAGCCACTTATTTTTTTTCTCTGAACGCGCAACAAGGCAGTGAATAAGCGCGTTTGAAAATCGTTGGAGGGTCAATGCCTCGGAACTGACTGACTGACTGACTGGTGGGTACAACGCGGGGCAACACCTTCCCCGAGGAGCCGCTGGGCCTCACCTGGCCCCTGGGCCTGGGTTTCAGCTCCTGGCTCGGCCCTGCCCTGCCCGGCCCGGCCCGGCCCGGCCCTTCCCGGGATAAAAGATACCAATCTTAATATTACATTTTTTTTAGATCACCACAACCCCCTCCGCAGACCTCACGCCGCCCCCAAACAGCACTCGGGAAGTCTAAACACGTTTTTTTTTCCCTCCAGGGATCCCGAACAAATAAAATCCCATCAAAATACAATTCCAGGGAAACGGTCACCGGTCTCACGGTTACAGACAAACACATTTCCTGATTTCCTACCTTTCCCCGGGAGTGGGGGGGGGGGGGGGGGGGGAGGCTCTCAATGGTAGTCGGTGTCGGGTTTATACATCTTACGTTAAAAAAAACACAGGAGGATAATAAACTCACCGGGAACATCCAAGGGGAGGAGGTGGAAGGAAGGAAGCGGATGGAGTGGAAAGGAGCTGAATGATAACCTCCCACATCCGCGACGCGCTCCTCCTGTCCCTCCGCTCCCCCCGCAGCCCGGACTCTCCCTCTCTCTCCCCCCCACCCCCACCCCAGGAGCTGAGCTCTCACCGCGCCACCTCACCACCTCCCACTCCTCACAGCTGGGCTCTCCCTCCCTCACTCACTCACTCACTCCCTCACTCTCCTCCTCCTCCACAGGGAGCGGACGGGCGCGCGGCTCTCCCTCTCTTTCACACACACACACTGTTTGCCCCCCAAGAGCTCGGCTCTCCCTCGCGCTCTGCCCCCTCCAGGGGATGATGTGCTGCTCTCCCAAATACACGGTCTTCCTCTCGCTCGCGCTCTCCCCCCGGCGTTGTCTGCCCCTCACTGTCTGCCCCTCACTCACTCTGTGCCCCTCACTGTCTGCCCCTCACTCACTCTGTGCCCCTCACTGTCTGCCCCTCACTGTCTGCCCCTCACTCACTCTGTGCCCCTCACTGTCTGCCCCTCACTCACTCTGTGCCCCTCACTGTCTGCCCCTCACTGTCTGCCCCTCACTCACTCTGTGCCCCTCACTGTCTGCCCCTCACTCACTCTGTGCCCCTCACTGTCTGCCCCTCACTGTCTGCCCCTCACTCACTCTGTGCCCCTCACTGTCTGCCCCTCACTCACTCTGTGCCTCTCACTGTCTGCCCCTCACTCACTCTGTGCCCCTCACTGTCTGCCCCTCACTGTCTGCCCCTCACTCACTCTGTGCCCCTCACTGTCTGCCCCTCACTCACTCTGTGCCCCTCACTGCCTGCCCCTCACTGTCTGCCCCTCACTCACTCTGTGCCCCTCACTGTCTGCCCCTCACTCACTCTGTGCCCCTCACTGTCTACCCCTCACTCTCTCCCCCAGGATCACTGTCTACCCCTCACTCTCTCCCTCAGGATCACTGTCTACCCCTCACCCTCTCCCCCAGGATCACTGTCTGACCCTCACCCTCTCCCCAGGATCACTGTCTGACCCTCACCCTCTCCCCCAGGATCACTGTCTGACCCTCACCCTCTCCCCCAGGATCACTGTCTGACCCTCACCCTCTCCCCCAGGATCACTGTCTACCCCTCACTCTCTCCCCCAGGATCACTGTCTGACCCTCACCCTCTCCCCAGGATCACTGTCTGACCCTCACCCTCTCCCCCAGGATCACTGTCTGACCCTCACCCTCTCCCCCAGGATCACTGTCTACCCCTCACTCTCTCCCCCAGGATCACTGTCTGACCCTCACCCTCTCCCCCAGGATCACTGTCTGACCCTCACCCTCTCCCCCAGGATCACTGTCTGACCCTCACCCTCTCCCCCAGGATCACTGTCTGACCCTCACTCTCCCCCAGGATCACTGTCTACCCCTCACTCTCTCCCCCAGGATCACTGTCTGACTCTCACCCTCTCCCCCAGGATCACTGTCTGACCCTCACCCTCTCCCCCAGGATCACTGTCTGACCCTCACCCTCTCCCCCAGGATCACTGTCTGACCCTCAGCCTCTCCCCCAGGATCAGTGTCTGACCCTCACCCTCTCCCCCAGGATCACTGTCTGACCCTCACCCTCTCCCCCAGGATCACTGTCTGACCCTCACCCTCTCCTCCAGGATCACTGTCTGACCCTCACCCTCTCCCCCAGGATCACTGTCTGACCCTCACCCTCTCCCCCAGGATCACTGTCTGACCCTCAGCCTCTCCCCCAGGATCACTGTCTGACCCTCACCCTCTCCCCCAGGATCACTGTCTGACCCTCACCCTCTCCCCCAGGATCACTGTCTGACCCTCACCCTCTCCCCCAGGATCACTGTCTGACCCTCACCCTCTCCCCCAGGATCACTGTCTGACCCTCACCCTCTCCCCCAGGATCACTGTCTGACCCTCCCCCTCTCCCCCAGGATCACTGTCTGACCCTCCCCCTCTCCCTCAGGATCACTGTCTGACCCTCCCCCTCTCCCCCAGGATCACTGTCTGACCCTCACCCTCTCCCCCAGGATCACTGTCTGACCCTCACCCTCTCCCCCAGGATCACTGTCTGACCCTCCCCCTCTCCCCCAGGATCACTGTCTGACCCTCACCCTCTCCCCCAGGATCAGTCTGACCCTCACCCTCTCCCTCAGGATCACTGTCTGACCCTCACCCTCTCCCCCAGGATCACTGTCTGACCCTCACCCTCTCCCTCAGGATCACTGTCTACCCCTCACTGTCTGTCTCAGTAACTGTAGTGCCTCACGCGCTGCGCGGTGTGTGGTGTATGTGTGTTTGTGCGCACGCGCCGCGCGAGCTCTGAATTCTGTGCCCAACGGTTTGTCGGACTGTGGCGCTCCGCCATCTTCAACCGCCGCAGCCTGAGCTGTGCTGTGAGGGGCTGTGCTGTGAGGGGCTGAGCTGTGAGGAGCTGTGCTGTGAGGGGCTGAGCTGTGCTGTGAGGGGCTGAGCTGTGCTGTGAGGGGCTAAACTGTGCTGTGAGGGGCTAAACTGTGCTGTGAGGGGCTAAGCTGTGCTGTGAGGGGCTAAGCTGTGCTGTGCTGTGAGGGGCTGAGCTGTGCTGTGAGGGGCTGAGCTGTGCTGTGAGGGGCTGAGCTGTGCTGTGAGGGGCTGTGCTGTGCTGTGAGGGGCTGAGCTGTGCTGTGAGGGGCTGAGCTGTGCTGTGAGGGGCTGAGCTGTGCTGTGAGGGGCTAAGCTGTGCTGTGAGGGGCTAAGCTGTGCTGTGCTGTGAGGGGCTGAGCTGTGCTGTGAGGGGCTGAGCTGTGAGGTGCTGTGCTGTCCGGTGAGGTGCTGAGCTGTGCTGTGAGGTGCTGAGCTGTGCTGTGCTGTGAGGGGCTGAGCTGTGAGGTGCTGTGCTGTGAGGTGCTGAGCTGTCCGGTGAGGTGCTGAGCTGTGCTGTGAGGTGCTGTGCTGTGAGGTGCTGAGCTGTGCGGGGCTGAGCTGTGCTGTGAGGTGCTGAGCTGTGCTGTGAGGTGCTGTGCTGTGAGGGGCTGAGCTGTGCTGTGAGGGGCTGAGCTGTGCTGTGAGGTGCTGAGCTGTGCTGTGAGGTGCTGAGCTGTGCTGTGAGGGGCTGTGCTGTGAGGTGCTGAGCTGTGCTGTGCTGTGAGGTGCTGAGCTGTGCTGTGAGGTGCTGAGCTGTGCTGTGAGGTGCTGAGCTGTGCTGTGAGGGGCTGTGCTGTGAGGTGCTGTGCTGTGAGGTGCTGAGCTTTGCTGTGCTGAGCTTTGCTGTGCTGAGCTGAACAAGAGAGAGTCCCTCAGACTTTTCTCCCCATTTCATGTAATTGGACGGATGATGGATCGCCACCGTCAGGACGCCATCAAACACTGCAGGAGGTTTTTTTCTCTCTCTCCTGAGGAATCAGCTTGGAAGAAAGGGAAGAGGGTGGGCATGCAGCAGAGGGGGAAAATTCCTCCAAGCTGTGTTCTTGCGGGGATGATAGTAACTAACAATCCTTATATTTTGTATAACTCCTTTCCTCTAGAAACTTTTCACAGGATATAATAATAATGTTTGGATTTGATATAGCGCCTTATCACGTCTTCGAGACGTCTCAAAGTGCTTCACAGGATATACTGTAAAGTGTAGCGACTGTATTTTTTTGGGCAAAACGCCGTAGCCAATTGTGCAGAGCTGCGCTCCCCCAAACAGTCCTGGATTGAGTGACCACATTATTTTTGGAGAGATTATTGACCCCAGAAAGTGATCTGCCAATCGACTAACAACCGGGTTCTTACTTACTGTTAGCTAAACAGATGTGTGGAGTAAGGAAACATGCCTGAGGTTTTGCCCTGCCCGGGAATCAAACCCAGGTCCTCTCGCTTGCGAGGCGAGTCCTCTAACCTGTAAAGTGTGACTGTATTTTATAGGTAAATGGAGCAGCCGGTTTGCACACAATAGCATCCCACAAACAGCCATGAAGAGAGGGATCAATTTTTACGGGAATTGTTGGCCAGGACAACAGAAAAAACTCCCTTTTTTTCAAATAGTGCCACAGGATCTTTAATGTTCACCTGAACAGGCAGACGGGCCTTAGTTAAATGTCTCATCCAAAGGATGGGATAAGGTTGGTTTGTGTTGAAGGCAGGTTGAGGTATTGATTCACTGGGAAAATCTGTGTACCTGATTTATAATGGACTTTGTAGATGGGCCATTGACAGGTGTCCTGCCTCTTGACTTGGGTATTATAATAATCCATGGTCATTCACAGCATCCAAACACTGCAAACTGCTTCACCTAATGAATTACTCCAATGTGCAGTGACCAACCCTGACCAAACACTGCAGCTAATGTGTTCAAGCAAGATTCCACAACAGGAATGAGATGAAGGCTATTTGATCATTTTGTGTGTGAATTTGGATCAGAGAGGAATATTGGCTAGAACTCCCTGCTTTTCTTCAAAATACTTGTAGTGCCACAAGAATTTTAAAGTCTTATCAGAACGGGCATAAACAATCCAACATTGTTGACTTTTCCTTAAATTCTATGATGTATTTAAGAAAAGAAAAATAGTGTTTAAACTGGAACATTATCTCTTTGAGTCCATCTCTGGCTGAAAACCTTGTGGTTAGATTTCTCACTGTACTCCCTAATTCCACTTCTCACAAGCTCCAGTTCACACAAAACAACAGCCAGTATCATTTTCTGCATAATCATTTTCCCATTCCTTGCCAGACTTCCCCAGTGGATCAACTTTAAAATCCTCATTCTGATCTTCAAATCCTTTCACAGTCTTGTTTATTTGCAGGTGGGCCTTCTGCCACTCTGTCCCCACCCTCTGGAACTCCATCCCACAGTTCCTCCGCCTCGCCCCCTCCCTTGTCACCTTCAAGACCAATCTCAAGACTCTCCTCTTCGACCGTGCTTTCAATCTCACTGCCTCCCCCCCACTCTCCAACCTCCCCGACCCCAAACCCCCAGCTCGGGTCCGTAACTCTGTCTGTCCAGCGCCTTGGGCAGGTCCTCCTGACGTGGAAGGCGCTTTACAAGTGTAATTTTGTTATTGTTGTTGTCCCCTCGCTACTTATTCAATCTCCTTCAGTCTTTTCTGCCTGTGTCCCCTACACCTCTACAACTTTTTTTTACATAACAGGCACTGCGTAAATGAAGTTATTGTTATTTCTTTCTATGAGAACGAAGGA